TAAGCTTAGCCTTTTTTTTTATATTTTTAGTAATAATCGTATAGAATATACTACCCTCTGCTAATTTCTTTCTATTTTTCTTAGTATTAAGGGAGCTACTAAGTAGGCTATTAAGAAGCTCCTTATATAACTAGTATCTTTAAAGAACCGTATTTCTTAAAAATTCCCCTTAATCCCTATATAAAAAGTAAAAGTATTACTAATACCTAAAAAGCTCTCTACGGCGCGAGTATCCTATAAATTAAATAAATAAGAAATTATAAAAAGGGGTATTATATTAGACCTATTTATTATCGACCCTTAGGTAATATTTACTAACTTTTTATTATTTAATATAGCTAATAGTATATATTAAGGATTAGTATATTTTGTTAATATACTTATTAAGCTTTTCGAGTTATATAGCTAAGTATCGTTAGTGCGCATAACGTTTAGCAAGTTTATGCATATTATTAATAATAAGAATAAGGAGATTAATATAGTCTTATCGTTAGACTTTGTTATATACTAATACCTCGACCCCTTTTATATTTATTAAGAAGCCGACCGAATAAATAGAGAGAAGTTATATTATGGTCGCGTCTATGCCGTCGGCTATAATTATTAAGGTAACTTCTATATTAGTAAGAAGGGTAATATCGCAATTTAGATCTAAAAAATCTTTTCCTATATTGATAATTAATACCTAGAGATAATCCCGAGGCATCCCTTTTATAATAATAAAGGTTATACCTAAAACAAAGATAAAATAATTATTACGGACGAGGTTACCTTTATCCCCGAGGAGAGTATAGCTAACGTTATTAATAATAATATAGTATACGACTACTTCTCTAGCGAGATTATAATTAATCTAAGCTTCGATACTAAATAGAAGTAGAAGTTTAAAAAGTTTATTAAGCGCCCGGTATTAAATAACTATAAACTCGTTATTTAACGAGTATAGCGCTATATATTTAAGGATTTAATCCCCTTAGTATATACTTACCCTATTTATATAAAGTTAGAGCTTAAGACGTATAGTTAAGAAATATTCGAGGATTAGGATAAGTTCGATATAAAGATCTATAGCTATCTAATTATATACTTTATTAATAGTTTTAGTATATACCGTAACTCCTATTATACTCTTATAAGTATATATATAATAATTACTAAGCTTTAAATAAAAGATCGACTCTGTTAGGCTAATATTTTTCCTCTTATACTTAGTTTATATAGTTCGAACTTTAATAATACTATTAAAGTATTCTAGTCCCTAGCTAAGCTCGATCGTAGTATTAGGTCGTACGTTAATAACGAGTACTATATTATAATTGCGCCGATTCTTTATTATATCGGAGATATATTATAATAGGATAAGAATAGTAAATTCTAAGGTACTCGAGCGACTAAGTTTTACCGCTTCTATTTCGTTAGTAATTTATAAAAGAATAGTAATAACTTAGAGTTAGTACTAAATTTCGATATAGTTACCTACGGGCGCTATTATTATTAGTATACGATTATACGTAAGGATATAAATAATCTTATAATAGTAGCCTCTTGCGAGTAGTATAAAAAAGCATAGGGTATTATAAAAAAGATACTTACGCTAGCGTTTATTACCCCTATATTAAATTTAATCCTTTTGCGCCCTCCGGATCCTACCTATTCCGAATATTAGGGCCTTACCGAGCTAATATATAGTATACTACTTAATAATATCCTTATTACGCAGGGATATAAGGAGTATGCTCGCGTACTACGTATTTAGCCCTTTTTATTAAGCTAGGAGCGCTTATAATTACTACTTTATTATCTTCGTAATTACTCCTTAGTAATAAATACTTTATAATCGGTTATTACTCCGGGCTTACTTCGTAGCTTTTTAATCCCGTATTATATCTACCCTAAATTTATAAATATTATATAAAGCTAGCTTAGTAATATTATTAATAACGATGTCGTCGACTTTATCGTAACGGCCTATACGAGATTAGTTAAGTCGAATAGTATCCTAGTTAGTACTAATATTAACAAAGCCGATTGCGAAAATATAATAAGTATTGTTATTAAGGCTCGTAAGATGTACTAATAGCTCTACTAGATTACTAGCTAGGCTATTATTAATAACCCCTAAGCGTAGAGTATTATTAGTAGTAGTTATTAGGGCTCGATAATACTACCGTAATAGCCTTTTTATTGACTATAAGTCGGGTTAGGATCGGAATATATATAGCTATTTACCGAGCCCGTTTTATATAATATTTCTTAATGCGTAAGACGATAGTTAACCTAGCCGCTACCTATCCTTATAATAAAAGATAAGCCTAAGCCTAAGCTTAAGCGAGGACCTATATTACTTAATAAAAGAGCTAAAGGGTATATATTAAATACGGTACGGCCGAATATTTATATAAGCATCTATTACGAGGCTATTACTAAGGAGTTTAGAATATTTATAAATATAAATATATTATTAAATAAGAATAAGTATAAGTAAATAAGGGGTATAATAATATCCTTAATATTTATTATTATATAACATATTTATTATTAATAGCTATATAAGTAGTTTAAAATAATAATAACCTAGACGAACTATACTAATATTAAGAAGATCTTATTATTAAAAGTTAATATATAGATAACGTAGCGCTTCTTTTTTTATAATACTTTTTATTATAATAATAATAAGCTCACTCGCTAAATATAATAGCTTTACGATAAGGCTCTAATACTATTTAATAAGGTACTACCTCGTACCGATAAGAAGGATATAATATAACTATAAGAGGATCTTATTAATAAAGAGGAGCTAGTAAGTATTATTAAAAATAACGGAGAGTACTATAATCCTATTATTATTAGCTAAGTTAATAGAGTATAGTACTTAATTAATAAAGGCGAGCTTTTACTTACTAAGGATACGAATATATTATAGACCTTTAAGCAAGCCCTGCGCTCGGTATATATATAGTACTACGCCCATAATAAGATCTAGAACTTTGGATATAAGGCTATCTAGTAGTCGAACCGCTTCGGCTTTATAGATAGGTAAGTAATAGTATTTACTATGTCTACTTGTTTATTATATTTATCTTATACCCGGCAATTCGAGGTATCTTAAGGGCCCCGGCAAGGCCCGCGAGATAAGGCTAATAATATTTAGGGCCTAGAGAGGGGCCACTAACATCTACTAAAGGGTCCGAAATAACCTTTTTATCTCTTAATTAATAGATTTAAGTAAATTTATTAATTAGATATTAAATATTATTTCGTAATATCGCCCTCGACTAAAAAAAAAAGCTTTAAGTACTGCACATTTACGCGCTATTAAAATATATAAAGTATAAAATCTAGGAAATTCATAGTTATAATATAAGCCCTAATTTTAGGTTATTTTTATTATAATATTAAGGTTTTCGAAGTATTCTTAATATACCCCGGGTCTTTTGCAAATCCGCGGGATATCCGCTATTATTATAGTATTACCGCCCTATCCCTCGTTAACTATAATATATAAGTAGTATTTATAATAGCTTTACGTCTACGTTATAATACATAAAAAGAATTAATTACTAATATTCTTCTACTTTAGTAATTTCCGTTACTATATCTTCGCTCGTAGTAACTACGTTAAGTATATAAATAGTAACTAGTTTATAATAGGCCGCGTCGATTATATCTTTGTTTATAAGATATATAATTTATACTATATTTTTATTATTATTATACTAATAGAGATCTTAAATAAGAAGGACCGTATACTTAACTTATATAAAGTGCGCTATCTTAAGTAACCTACTATTATTAGTATTAATACTATCTAGCCTAAGAAGCTATACTTCGTTAAGATCCGTAACTATAGTATCTAGGTTAAGTAATAGGTTAAGTAGCTATAATATGCTAGCTTAATACTATATAAGTACATCCCTACTATTAGCCCGACTATGTACTAATATTTATATCGTAGGCATCGGTATTATACCCTCGCCTACCTTATATATCCGAGTATTAGGTAAGTAAGACTATTTACTTCTAATACTTACTTATAATCGCAAAAGGCTAAATAGCTCACCTACCTAATACTAAAGAACTTTATAAGTAGTAGTAATAATAACGGCGCCTTAACACTACGATTTCTAAATAATAAGGCAAGTTAACTATTGCGAACGGCTTCATTTTTTCGTAAGTATTAATAAATCCGTACACAGACTATATATTTACATTATCTCGCCCGCTAGACTATTTCTCTAAATTCAATAGGGATAGTAATAGTCTTAGAGGTTTAACTTTAGGGATTTCACTTAGAGGCATAAGCAGCCGTGACATCCGCGTATCTATAGCAATATTATAATATATATAGATAGTAGTATATTAATATATTTGCTTAAATATATTAATATCCGTGCACCCCGGGCCCCGGGAGTACCCCCAGCACGGTCCCCCGATACCCTACCTATAACTCCTAAAACTCTCGGCTACTCTCGGGCGACTATTATTATATATATAACTATTACGTATATTACTACTACTATAGATTAAGTTATAGTATCTTATTTAACGGTAGTAATATAAAGTCGTGCGACTATGTTAATATTCTTAATCGATATATACCCTTATACGCCCCCGGTAAGGTATAGGCTATAAACCGATCGCAGAATTAGGAAATATTCGAACCCTCGTCACCTTAGAGGCTACAGATGTTGGCTAGTAAGATAGCCTTTTAGAATTGATGCGGTCCCCCGGAGTGTTATGGAAGGTAAACTTTGTGTATCTCCTCTCAGCCAGTCAGACCATAAGGTTCTGCCGTGCTTTGAGCCTTCACTTAGCTGTGACACTCGAAAACTAAAGTCTGACATCATGCTAACTTGCCAAGGTGTCACTTGATGTCCCACTAAGAGGTCATGCCTTCAATTATTTAAGCGAGCTCATGCCTGCCTCCAAAGTTTCATCTCTCACTCTCAAGCACAATTTACTTGCCCCGGGCCGACATCTTTTTCAGAGCTGCAAAGATGCCCGAACTCGCCGAATGCAAATACTCCCGCGAAGAGTGCATAGCGTCAATCCGCGACTATTACAGCTTCTTAAGTACGATGTATGTCCACGAAGACGACATCCTGTATCCTCCAGAAGAAGGTTGGCCTACAATCACAACGGAAACTTTGAAAGACATGGGAAAATCAAGTGAGGTCATATGTCTTCTACGCCATCTACCCTACATTCGTGTCCCGAGCAATCCCTTCAATCAGGCTCAGGGCGCTCCTTGGTGCCGTTTTGCCGATTGGAAACACACAGGAGCCCGTGTCGAATGCGGCATGGATGGCCAGGATTTGAAAATCATGTCGGAAGGTTCCGAAATCTGCGACAACGCACCCTCCCACGTGATTGGTCTCACAAAGGGTGGCCGCGAAAATACTGTTTTCCTCTTGGATACAGAGCTTGGCATAATATACTGGCCAGAATGCCCAGACGGGATCTCGGACAATCCTTCCTACGACCATCTGCGAGTTTTCGACGACCCTCACGAGTGGGCTCCAGAAAACGAGGCCGACTGGCGTGGCGATGCCACTCGCTGGACCGTGAATGGTTTCTTCGAAGTTCTCAAGGATCAATTTCGAAAACTGAACTTTATCCCCACCAGTCAACTGTCTGTCATCGATGTATACGCGTATCTCAGACCAGGCTCGGACGGCTTGGTGGAAAAATTACAATTCATCTATCATGAGCATGGCTGGCCGGGTCTGGAAAATTATCGGAAGCGGGAATGCTTGAAAGCTGTGGAGGCCGCAATGGAACAACAGTATGGAATGGATGATTGAGTGGCTTGGGAAAAGAGGACGGATCTACATGAGTCAGCATAAAAGTCTTGGGAGGTTTCATCTGCTTCATTGCTGTGGGAGTCGGCTTCGCAAAATAATTCAGTCATGACAAACTCGAGCTATCACAAAGTCTTATTAATGGTCAACTTTCAGAAGACAACTCAGCTAGCAGAGTCCAGCTGAGGATTTCTGAAACCTGTAATCCGATTTCTGTATCCAGAAGCGCCTGAAATCCCTGCTACATCTGTTGAGGGTTTAGCAGCTTTCTTCTCAGCATTAGTTTATTTGCATTGGTTCCACAATATCCGTGATTGTGGACTTTGGAAGAGTTTCTGAAAAGACTCGTGGTAATCTCTAGAAGATGGCTTCCTCGAGATTACTACTAAATTACCGCGCCGATGTGCGTGAAACTAACCTATCTATAGATACAGTACATTGAATACCTTACTAGTGATTTCAATGTGAAGGATATTCCAAAACAACAAAGTCTACCTAACGTGTCTTGTACTACCCTAAAAATCTTCACCTCAATTGTGTATTGAAGAAAAGCCTGGTGAAAGCTGTTGTAAGAGAGCACAACTACGTCTGTACACAAAGTCAGCTGTCATCAACGCAAAACAGATTCGTTGCTGCATACCTAATTGTGAGAGGGTGGTATTTTTTTTTTGAGCAAATAGCTCCTCGCTATGTCCTTTTTACACAACTTGCCTTACTTGTGATTCCTGGCTAGAAAACATGCGATTGTGCCTCAATCATATTCTTCCTCTAGTCACGTAAAACGTAAAAAAAAAAAAGGAACAATTTCGGAGCAATAGTACTGTCTTGTCAATGACGGATCCTTGAAGCTACATTCAACGGCTACAGGCTCGAAGGCTTCTAGGATGCGATTCTATTTCAAAGGGACAATTCGCAACGACTGACCATTGGCGGTAGCCGCCATTTCTCTGGATGCTTCAAATGTGGCTCTTAAAGCTTAACAAATCATGAATGGCATCCATCAGGGTAAGTTGACCACACCGCACCAAAGGTGAGCCTTGATGGTTTTGGTTTAGGGTTAACGATTTCTAACCTCTTTGAATCGAGAGCTTTTCTGGGACCCTTCATGCCTCATGACTCCGAACGGTGGTCTATTTGCCAGGATTCTTGCACGGGTTTCGTCACAACGCGTCTTATCATACAAGCGCGTTTCTCTCACCAACTCACGCATCGGGGTCATGTTCGGGCTTCGAGTATAATTGCAGAGGATTGCCAGTAAGGTCGCGAGTAGCCACTGACGTCAGGTCGAAAAGAAAGGTAGCCTCGAACCAGCCATCAAAACAAGGTTAAGGTATTCGTTTGGCTTTCCCTCGAGCGGGTCTTCCCCCGACCCCCTGAAGTATGCCTGCGCCCAGGTGGAGTAGTAGGCCAGCGTCAGAAGCACGAAAACATGTGTACATGAAATCAGACACTTACTTTGGGAACGCGAACAGTACAACTATCACAGCAAACTAACTGTCGGCTGCAAGTACTTCGTAGTGCCAGACGCTTCCACTGTTCTCACTAGACGTGTCAGAACAGCCAGTGGGTCATCGCCTCTGTCTCATTCGGAAAATGTAAGCAGCCAACTCGGAGCCGACCCCCCCAAAGTAACCAGCCTGGATGTTAAATGCCCACAAAATCTAAGCAGCCAGGCTTAGCGGCCGTTTCCACTGTCCTAAAATCTGACGGTCGTGTTTGCTGTGTTTTGGCGAGTTGAATGGTCAATTCGGTGATCACTTCCCTCATTTGGGATGGCTTAGACCGGGAGGACAGGGCAAAACAGGCAGTAGGGTCTCATTTGCCAACGCTTGGCAGCGCGTAAGAAGAAATGACTTTGCACCCAATGGTGCCATATGCCAGAATCCAACCCGCTAAACCGACGAACCAGCGGCCCGTTGCACCAGCTTAGTCTCGTATGGAGGACAACAATTATGCAGCCACCCGCAGGGCTGACCCTTCAGGTCCCCATAAGCTGAATCCTTTGACGAAAGCCCCTTCGACCCGCGGCGTTGCGGATCCCATCTTCCAGCCGAACAGTTTTCCCGCTCATGTTAAATGATCTTGGTCCCATTTAGGGAACCCTGTTTACGACCTTCTCCCTGCGACAACCGTAATTCCCAGCAAACTTGTCCTGTTTTTGTACCTCGAAACCATGGATTTCGACACGATCCGATGGCGATTCAGCCTCCGCAGTTTCGTGACCGCGGCATCCATCGCGGTCCATTCGTCTTTCGCGCAAGAATGCGCGTATGAAGGAGGATGGGCGCTTCGAAACGATAGATCATGTCCGCCGAGCGCACCTGTCGAGTGTGGCACAGGAGCGCAACCGAGATGCTGCCCCTCGGGTTTCAAATGCACTGGAGATGGTGATTACGTGGGCAACTACTGTTGTGAAGGTTGGTAAACGCTGTTTGGACACTTCAATCAACATAATCCTGATCCTAGATCAAAAGATCCTTCTGACTGCAGGGACTTGTCGTTAAAATACCCAAAGGTGAGGGCAACTACAATCCAGCTCCTCGAGCATGGGAGTAATGCTGATCCTACATTTTCATCATAGTGCCCTAATTCAGACTGGACTCTCTGGGGGGTCGACGGAAAGATCGACAATGGTGGATGGTGCTGCCAATCCGGGCAAAACGGGACATACCGCGATAACTCGAACGGAATCGCCCTGCTGTGTACTCCCGCGACGGCGACAGCACTTGCTTCGAATATCTTCTGGGCTGCGACAGTTAGCACTTCATCCTGTTCCACATCGTCGACGAGTTCGACACTCGCCACAACGTTAGCGACTGCGACTGCCGCATCAACGACCGCAACCACTACTGCCGGAGCTTCCGCCACGACCGCGATTACGGCCACCTCTACGCCGTCGGGTACGGGCGATTCAACCTCAATGTCTACCGGAGCGATAGCCGGTGCTGCGGTCGGAGGCGTCGCTGGCGGAATTCTGATCATTGCGGGAATTTTCTTCCTCTGGCGGAGGAAGAAGAGAAGCTCAGCCGATGCGACCCCTACGACGGAAGCGGGCTCTTCGGCGTGGGCGTACGAACGAAAAGATGGACAGGTATACGGAGCGAATGGTGGCGGGGTGAACGAGCTCGCAGTTCCAGAGCCGCGGGTAGAGATGGATTCCGCCATGCAACCGACTTACGAGCTTGATGCTGCGGCATCAAACACGCCCGAGCTAGACGCAGCGCACTCCGGTGCAAGACAGGCTCAGAGAGACGATTTGAAGTACCGATAGAACGAACGTGCTACGTGATACCCAGCATGCTTTAGACTGTACCTACGTTAGGAAGAAGAGGGAACATGAAAAGACCGCTCATTGTACCTTATAAGGTAGAGCAACAATTCGAATCCACGATATCTTAATACATTGGCATTCCATGTTTAGTATCCATCAATCCCGTTTGAATCGCCCATGGCACACGTGTATTCCGCATTCTGACCAGGTTTTACGAGCAAGGCAAGTTACAAAAGAGACTGCCCACGTTCAGGTGCGCTTATTCAATCAAGCAGAGGGTGCATCGACAATGAATTTTCTTATCACAGATGGCCACTCCCTTTGCGATGTTGGTTCACTGATGAGTAACCGTTTTTAGATTGATAAGAGTTGCGACTGTCGGCACACATTTCTAGTCAGGGGTTAGCCATCGAACAGATAGATAAGAATGTGAAGGCCTGCACAACGACTTACCACTCAGTATTGAGAGAAACGTGAAAGCCGTCAATCCCACCAATATAATAGGCACAAGCTGCCCAAAGGATGTTGCATCGTCTTCTTCACTCTGCCCGCCTTCGTCCAGCTCAAGCCATCGCGACCTTTTCACCCAACGCCTCAGATTCATAATGTAAAGGCTCGACATCACAACTGTTGTTCCGCAGATGCCTATTCCGCCAAGAAGATATACTCCGTAGGAGAATCTACCAACACTGGAGAAAAATTTGACAAAACAGTTGTCGCGCTTGTGCCAACCGTTATTCTCGGCGGCTTCGCGATGTTTTTTCCTACTTCGATAACAGCATCGGCCCAACTCTGCAAGAATGGATACACCGTACCAAATCAGAATGACTAGGTAGAGGTTCCAGCCCTGAATGTAGTTCCCCGGAGTGCTCTGTAGTAATGCCCTCTCCACCGCTGTTCCATTTCCTACTGAGTCTAGCAGGAGTTGCTTCAACTGTTCAATGCTGTCTTCCCCATTCTGAAAGCAAACAGCTTGAGATAACAGCAAGCTGTCTGATTCATTACTGGGCGGCACCTTCGTTGGAAAAGGTACGTTGTTGCTTGCGTTCTGGTTGGATAGTAAGAGCCCAGTCATGGCGAATACGACTGTGATAAATATGACTCGTAGACAAGCAAGGAGGAGCCTTTCGAAGTAGTTCTTTGAGATCACAACGGACATGAGATGCGTCGCGCAAGTGAGCAGTAGCATGTTTGCGACAATGTTGTAGTGGTAAGCGGTTATGAAACAGCCTTTCCAAAACCTAATGGTCACTAGGTAGGCACCGCCTGTGAAGACCTGTTGGTCGCTGCAAGAGACGACGAGAGCTTGAAAGAATTTTGATCGACTAAACTTGCTAGCCCAACGTGGTCTTTGGAAACCAGAAGTCTTGAACCTATTCAACAGCTTGTCATCAGCTTGACATCGAAACTCATTTAATTCTTGAAGGCTGTGTCTTACCGTTGATGTGTCGTTGAATTATGTTTTACTACGGTCCATATGACGTCAAAGACACCAATGGCGAACGCGAAAGACGCGACAGCGATAAAGACGGAAACAATCTTTAGAACAGCTTAACTTCTCGACATCAAATAAACAATGAGTGGCAGCTATACGTACCCCAATGCCCGCGATATCCGGCTCGGGAGGGACTTCGCCGCGCTCATAGCCAGCGATAGTCTGGAATCCTCCAGAGTCGTTCGGGGTGACACTGCAGTCCACAGTCGTGTTGTAATGGCTCTTACACTGCGCTATCGATATGGAAGCTCCCATGATGGTTCACTAAGGTAGCTTGAATCGCGGTCACTAGAGCAACAAAAGTAAGAACAAGCCTTGCAGGTCGCAGACTGGTTGTCGGCCAACGAAGGAAATCCCTTGAGATTTTATATTATTTTGATGCTCTTATGAGATTCCGCGTTCCCAAAATATTGACAAGGCTGGCCTCAAGCTTTCTCGTTTCATCGTCGAGGCAGAGAGGGTGACCCAAGCAGGCTGGGTGGGAAACACAGCATGCTTACTATGGCATTCTCATTCTGTAATTACCCTCTAGCCGCAAAAAAAACAGGGATTAAGCTACCCTCCATGTCAGACTAAGCTGCACTTCATCTCAGCCCCGACAAGTTCGGGGTAAGCTAACATACAGTTCTCCATCGCCACGTGGGGGCCATAGCGAATTATAGCTAGCTTTTACCGTTTCAGTATGCGAGCCTATAGCTATGGCCCAGGCTGTAGGATTCATCCGCATGGTGTGCGTTCACTAGAATGTTGAGGCTTCAATGGTGGTGTTGTGAAATGTCTGCAAGTTGGTTCATGCAGGCTATGTAGATATAGGTAATCGCGGCTAGACGTCTCGAGAGCTAGGTGGCGGCATGCAGGATGGCGGTGGCTCCCAAAAGTACCTTCGGGCTAAGATTGACAGGACGTGTAGGCCATTAACAGCGCGAAATTCCTAATAAGTGAGACATTAGGCAATCATCAAGAAGAACTGCTGCCCCTTTACGTCTTGCGGAATCGCCCCAATACGAGAACATGGGAGAGGGGGCGTTGGGAGATGGGAGATGAGAGATCAAAGATGGGAGATGGGAAGTCCAGGAGGGCCGAGATCGAGAAGTGTACATTCATTAGGCGACAAAGCCATTCACTGCGAAACATTTTGGATAGTCAGATGCTTCGTTGACTCAAACATGCGAAAGCCTCAACTTTTCTTTGATCAAGGCCTAAATTGGCTACCAGCAATGATTGCCTGCAAAGGGTTGCTGGCCACATACGACAAGCCCAGCTTAGCGACCATAGTCAAGAGCCCGGTAGCAAGCAACATAGCAATGGAAAATCCAGCGAGGCCAAATACCTCCAAATGTCCCATACCATTCGCAGGTCGCGGCCCATCTGCGGTCTCGGCGCCAGTCTTCGCATCGTGATACGGCACATACTTGAACTCATATTTATATCCTCCCTTCAAGGTGTCCTTGTTCTCCACGATGTAGTCCCAGAATAAAGCTCGGAATGTCTGACGACATTGGATCAGCACGTGAAAACTATTCGGTAGTCCTGTTCAACTTCAGAGCGTGCTTACCTTGATTTGCCATCTATCCCAGGCAGGGATAGAACGCGACATATAAGTAATCACCATCAGAGTCCAGATGATACCTCTGATGACAGCATCCCAGTACAGACCGGGTTTGCCAAGTCCGACGTCATCACACATCTCATCTCCGTTGATGAAGCGAGTCCCAGCCTCGAAGAACTCTTTCGGCTCATATATTGGAGCAACGCCGTCCAAAGCAATGACCAAGTTATTGGCCAAAGCTCGAGAGTTCTTGCTCGGGGCAAGGCATGCCTTCAAAAGCGATTCCATAGATGCCAATGCTCGTTCGGGTGTTTCCAAGATCCAGTGGGGAGTACCCAAGACATAGCCGACCCATCGCCATAAAGCGAGGTAGTCCAGAGCTTCTTGGTGGCGCACGTAGATACCCTGTCGGGGCAGTGCCAACCACACGAGGTTGGTGGAGAATGCACATACAGACTGCATCGAGTCAAGTTCGTTGATGGGGACGCCGTATTTATCGACATCAAAGTATCCGGGACGCTGTGCGTTGAGCTTCAAGATTCGTCCTCGCACCGCGGCATGCAGTAGTCTGACGCGCACGGCTGAAGCGAAGCCTTCACCTCCAGGCTTGATGTCGTCGAGGGATTTTGTGACCTGGAGAAGGAGCTGAAATGTCTCAAAGAGTCTGTTCTTGGCGACTTTGGCGGAGTGACCGCCTGTACGAACCAACGTCTCTGCCGGTCGATACGAGGCTCCCTGTTGGTAGATCGCATTAGCATTTTCGCCGAGAGTTTCTCACATCCGTGTCTTCTTGTCATCACACTTACAGTCGTAGCAAGCAGTCCCTGGAACGCAAACCCAGTGACTGCAGCAGGCGCGTAGCGGTAGAAGACGTCCTGCCCACGCTTGATCTGGTCCCAGTCGACCCACTCAGGCACGGCGTTGACTTCGTCCCAGAGCTTCATCAGTCTTGGGTCCTTCTCGCGGTGGTCCCGAAGCAGAGCGTATGTATCGCGATCGGGCTGCGGGTCTTCCTGCTTCCCCTTGGCGTACCACCCAGCTCGAGGCGGCGGAGGAGGGAACATGCCATCTAGAGCTGTGAGAGCCTCTGACCCCACTTCATCGAACTTATGCTTCAGCGGGTCAAGCTGCTCTGCTGACATGTGAAGATCCGTTTGGCGAAACTTGTAGCCATATGAATCGATAAGAGAAGGTGCCATTATGATTCCATGCAGATGTGCAATGAGTACTTGTGATTTGGCAAACGTCTTGTCGGGTCAAGAAGATTTTACCTTTCTAGATGAATCAAATCGGAAAGGCTCTGCTCAACACCTACATTTATATCCAAAATTCATGTTCCGGAACGCAGTGAGCTACCCATGCAACTGCGCCAGCACTAGTCCTAATCCGTGACATTCGTACAGTCGCCCAACGAGCGACCCTATCAACTTCCATCCCTGCGCATACCTCAATGTTCCACTCGTTCGAGACGGTCAACCAAAACTCCATACTGCATGTCAATTTGACTCCGCGAACAAGTCGCATGCGACGTTGATGGTAGCATAGAAGGCGGAGAAATGTCTGACAGGTCACTCTCCACCAGGGCTGCTGCTGCGAGAGCATTAATTAGGTGACAGGATAGCCGAGAAATGTCAGCGCCAAGGCATAGACTGCGACACATGGGAACCCGATTGTCATCATCCTCCCGTCTGACGGTCTCTTCGTTGCTTTCAGTGACATATAGTTCTACCAATGAGAAGCGATTCAATCAGTACCGCAGGGTATGACTTCTCCTTGACTCTACTGGCTCATAACTGCGGTTCAAAGCGATACCCCGTAAGAACCGATGTTACAGAAGGGGTCTCACCCCAACACGCAGATGTTAATAACCTGCAGTTGAATAACATGCACCATGTGTTTGTTGTTCACGCATCTCAGTATCATGGACGAAACGTAATTGATCAATAAAATCCGCTTGAGAATACAATGCTAATGCTACGCATCAAGAACGCTATACAATGAAAGCCGTAGTCGTTTAAGCGTTGACACAGCTGAAATCGGACAGGCTGTAGTATCCGCACTTGTCCGTCGTCGTCTTCCAGGCCCGGCAGTTACCGCACACACGGTCGACCGTGACTCTGCACAAAGAAGAGCTGCCGTAGCCGTTGGTGCCGCGCCAGTCCGAGGTCGTCAGCCCTCGGTCCGCGCCAGAGATGCGGGCCGAGACGGTAGAGCCATACTCTATAGGGTTGGCGTACTTGTCAAACTTGCTATATCCCCAGAATATCACAGTCAGTCCAATATTCGTATACTAACGCCAGGTTGATGAGAGAGGTGGTGTTCTTACGCCGTGCATGTGCAGTCCTGGGCCGCGGGGCAGTTGCCGCGAGCGACGAGCTCGACGTTCTCAGCGGCAGGCGCGCCGGGAGCGGCGTAGGCAGTGGAGAAGAGGGCGATGGCCACGGGGACGAGTGAGAACTTCATGTTGGTGGAAGAAGAGTTTTGAAAGAGTGGATTGAGGTCAGAGATCTGAGCAACTAGTGAAGGAGCGAATGAGTGACTGGCGTTGAAGACTGAGAGGCTACACCGGCATGTAATTCCACTTCGTCTTGAACATCCATCTATATAACGTCGGCAGGGTACTTCATGAACGAGAGTCATGGCCGCGGCTCGGCATCAAACCACGAGCGTTTTCCCCGATACTATCTAGAAAGATTGCGAAGAGACGAACTAATTCGATAGAGTTCGGATCGAACCCGAGGCTTTGGCGCACCTCGTCTCATGTTTGACCCAGTAATTCCCTATTGCAGAGCGCTGCGGCGAGAGAAAATCCGTGCTTTCCAGATGAGGCAGAGAAAAGGATAATTGATTATTTGTTCCAGACTACGGCACCGGCGGCCCCGGGGCTCGCTGCTGAAGAATAAGATTAGGCTTAGGCGGTGCCTTAAATCACCGCCATTTCGTACTGCGAGTCAGGCTACTGGATCGCAATTGCGGGCGGTCGGTCTGGCGCTGCCGTTGGCGCGCGCAGCGACCAGGTGACCCGTGAGAGATTGAGCTTTTGAGAAAAGCGAGGTGCAATCTGATAACGCGAGTCGTTGCCAAGAAAGCAGTTTGTGAAGCGTTGGTAGTCAGCCTTGGCGCCTCGAGCTTTGAGATTGTGAAGAGGGAGCCATGGTGTCACCGGTTGCATGCACCGATGATATGTGAGAACAATTCTCTGGATTCATAGACATCGGTTTGCTTCAAGCTCTCAAAACATTCAGCTTAAAGTAGAAGAATGAAGCGCTGAATGTTCTATTTAGTAGCAACTAAAAAGTATGCTCGCTATGCTCCGTTTGTATTTAGTACCCATGACTCTCCTCCAATTTCCCACTACACCGAAATAAGGTTCAAATTGAGAGGGCCTCTAGCACTTGAGGTCTCCGTCGATGTTGCTCAGGCACGTGTCTAAGCCGATTAGTCAGTACTTGCTGTGATAATTGATTAACTTCCCATGATAATCTTACCCAGGTTCAGGGACGAAGGTCTCTTCGTTCCGGTGGAATCAGTGCAGCGGCAGTTCAAGATCTGCTTCTTGTCGCCGCCAAGACCACAGTCGCAGAACTTGAACGATGGGCTTTTGCAACATGTCAGTATGAAGATTGATTAACTAAAGGTATGGCTTACTTGGAAGGACGGCACTGCGAATAAATCACATTAGTTTGAATCCATCGATGGAGCGACTCAGAGCTTGGCTTCTGGGTGTAAGACTTACGACAATCCTGCCTCCGACATTGGCCAGGCACTTGGTCATATCCAAGTCGGTCGAGTAGGAATCCTCCTGGTATTTGTCCATGCAATAGGACTTGACGCTGGTAGAGAAGTAGGACGTGCCAGAGCATGTCGCCGAAAAGTCGCCAGCGGCGACTTGGAGGGCAGCCATGGCCAGAAGAGGAAGACTAGCGAGTACGCGCATGGTGAAGTGATTTAATGAGTGAATAGTATTGAAAGAGTGGAAGAAGGCAATGGACAAAGGAATGTGAGTAGCAAAGCTGGCGTCTCAAAAAAGAAAATGGGCGGAAGAAGACCTTCTAGGACTTGTACTGTGTTTTATAGGTTTCTAGTATAACAGCAAGCTTCCTAGCAAGTTCGTCCGAGCGGAATAGAAGCACGGAGTCCTCAATGAGATAGTCGACTAAGCTGCGTACCTTACCTAGTTGCCGAGTCGTGACTATGTGAAGCTTGATACATTAGGCAGAAACCTTAAACCACTTGAAGCTTACCTGACTCCTGCCGCCGCGCGACTCGTGGATGGCGGAAAGGGCATCAATTAGGCGAACATTTCACACCTTTCGAGGCATATTTCGATTCCAACATATTGTAGGGCGCGTAAAGATTAGATTTCAAGCGGGTGTTGAGAAATGAGAGTGTAGGTATCAATCGTCTCTTAATTTCCGAAAACGCTAACGGACTGGTCACGCCCTAACCCAAGAGCTCGTGCAGACCTTCCTCCTTCAACGTCTCTCTCACTGCCTCGAGGACCTTTGAGTGGACTGACGGCGGTGCCGCGATGAAACCGTAATTTGCCTTCATCTTCCGTCCCGCTACGAGATTTACCGGGTTGCCGTCGACGTCGGTGACCTTCCCGCCTACCTCCTCGAAAAGCAGCATGGCGCCCGCGTGGTCCCAGATCTTTGCGAGACGGTCACGCCGCCTGTAGGCCCAGAACGTGCAATTCGCTTGACCGAGACCGAGAACCGTCCACCGCAAAACCCAGCCGAGCAGATCGTTGCCCGGATACGCTACACCAAGGCGTTCGGCGACTTTTTGGTGGATACCCGGAGCCCCAGATTCGGAGCCTTCGATGCATGTCACTGACACCAGGGATTGCGTATCCACGTCGGCGTGGCGGGGAATCTTTGTGGGCTCGAGGTCGATCGGGCCAGGAAGCGGCCGGATGAAGGTTCCGTGCCCTCGGACTGCGAACATGATGCTGCCGGTACCGGTGGGGTCGATGGAGTCGTTGTTGATGGGCGCCTTCGCGTCGGCCGAGAGTAGCGGCAGACCGACAATGCCGACGCTCTGCTTCCCTTCTTCCATCAGGCAGACGTTGATGGCGTAGAGCTCACCCCGCACAAAGGTCTTTGTTCCATCGATGGGGTCAAACACCCAGAAGCGGCCAGTAGGTGATGGGTCGCTAAGGCCGCACCAGTCAATCATGTCGCACATCTCCTCTGGTGACGTAGGCAGCTTGCATAATGAGTCGGCGGTCTTGTCGTTCTCGACCTGCTGCAGCAGCGCCCATACAGACTCGAGAAGCTTGGGATTCTCGCGGAGGTCAGCGGCGGACTCCTCGCCGACAAATTTATCGTTGGGAAAGGCGGCGTGCAGTGTGCTCGTCAGTAGGGCCTGGATGGCGAAGTCGGCAACGGTGACTGGGCTGAGATCCTCTTTTGTCACGACGCCCTTGTCATCTTTGACGAGAACACGGCGGCTAAGCTTGGCGCCGTGTTGTATGGCGGCAATGGCAGTTGCCAATTCTCGAGCATATGGTCCGTCCATTTTGGTTGCTGGGTGATGCCGTCTATCGGGGAGAACGGTGAGATGAGGTGGTGGTGTTGAGAGTAGTGTAGACGATAGGTGGGGTGAATTTGACAGCGCTGATCAGTGTTCGTGCAGAGTGGGTTCGGTGAGTACCAGTTGATGAGTCAGGCGATTGATGTGGATGCGATGTGAATGCAGATGCAGATGCGGATGCGGATATTACCTCACGCAGGTGTTCTGTTCGCAACCGGGGAGATGACTGGTGGTAGTGGTAAGCTACGAATGCCGCCGCGTGAATGTGGTTGAATGCAGTTTCTTGAATGCCGCCGATGATGTCAGACCACAAGTCTAGGCATGGTAGGCGCGCTTTTCCCAAGCGCCTTCCCGTTGCAAATTTTGCCGGAAGAACTCCGGTGACGTGGGACCTGGAAGGAGTGGCCCCGGCATCGGCGTCGGCAGCCCCGATTCGAAAAGCGGGTCCGTTTCCGCTATCCAGAGCTTCGGATCCGATCTAAAATGGAGTTGCAACGACATTCAGTGCGAAAAGAGCTTACAAATGGGGAGTTGGGGGTATCACAAGGTCTTGGCTGCCGATAGATAGAAGGTATAAGTTACAAAGTTGAAAAGCCACGCCCTGAGTTCACCCTTTGGCCCCAAGTCTCATTTTGGCAGATCCCATGTGCAGGTTTGCATGATGTATTTTCCTGGTAGAGGTCTAGTAAGCAATTCCGCCATTCAAACGCATAGAGGCGAAATCGGGCACTTACTGTCTTTCCAGGTACGTTTCTTATGGAACAATACAGCTCGCAAATACCAAAGCCTGGTACACCACACGGCCGCCAGAGCATCACGCATCGCCCGGTCCAGGGAGACCAGAATGTTGAGACTGTACATGCCGCTCTTGGACTCCTCAACTGCCAATCTTGTTCCATTACCGTCAAGCCAGTCGAAAACTTGGTTGTTGCGGCGAACGTCGAACAGTAGCTCTCGCGCCTCGTAATACTCGGTCCTGTCACTCGCCTTCCGCCGGCCCACCAGCCAGGCCTTGCATTCGCTCTTGCCAATCTTCAAAAACTTGAGCCCGATGCTACCCAAACCACTCCGAGATGTTGGTTTGATGTAGTACGGGAAGGTCTCCTGGAGAATGGCAGGAGGGCGCTCCAGATTGAAGATGTGCCTCGAGTTGGAGACAATTTCGGGCAGACGGTTCGACTCATCAGGCCTTTTCTTGATACTGTAGTCGATGCGGCTGAACTCCACAAGTCTATCGGTTTCTCGTAAGAAGTCTATTTGGTGGTTGATCTCGAAAATTCCCGGCGCATCCGCATTCCGGGTGTTGGCGGAATGGACAAATCGGCCAGCCAGCCGGAGTGTATCTGGCGGCAAATTCTCTGAGACTGTACCAGCATCCACCGCATAGTCTGGCGGAAGATCGGGGTTGGTGTCGACTTGTGCCATCTCGTCTTTCAGTCTCTTCTTCGCTAGATCAACAGCCAATGACGACTATCTGAGGTGGTTGAGCAACGGCTTCGAGAAACAGTTGCGCAGATCAAACTATTGTAGGAGGAGTGGCGCCTTGGACACGGTACTGATTGAATGAATTGCAGTGAAATGAGAGCCTGGCGGTTGAGCGTGGTGACATGTTTATGATGGATGAGGTCATGTGTAACATCGAATGAGCCGTGACAGGCCCGCACGGCAAGCATCGCCCGAGCATGCTCCCGCAAATGCGACAGACAGTTAATTGGCTCTTCTTGTTTGGCTGCCTAAGTAAGCGGACGATAAAGAAACGTTGAAGCGCTACAACGCTCGGGAATGCGGCAAATGTGATTGGGTTGTGTGCTCTGTCAGCAACTCGCCCGATCCTGAAAGTGCGGCATAATGTCGGAAATGCCTCAACGTAGTGGTCAGCTGCGTCTGGTTTTGCCCGGCTTGTATGGTAATTCGTCGAAAAACAAATTTATCAATGCGGGTGGCCTCAGAATCAACTGCACGACACAATCAAGAACTTAAAATCATGTACGCAGTATATGAACGCACTCAATTTGCGCTATTTTCGACCACTCTCAACTTGCTCAAGGTCCAAGTGGTGATTGTATACCATCCTATCTTGTTCCATTCACCACCTTACCAACGCGCCTTCGCCTCGATCTAGTTCCATGACAAATCGTGCTGCAGACATTCAAGCTGCACTGAAATGAATCCGCGAGCGAGTTACGCGTGTGTAGTCGACGGTTGCATTGGTCGAAGTTGGTCGAAGATGACCCTTTTATCGGGGGGACGAAATGTGACGATGTTCAGAAAGACAGCTCATAGAATATTGCAAAAGTCGCTCTCACGATAATGACCAACCGGCGAGAGCTCAGGGGAACAGGCGTGTTTGTCTACTCTGTCTTCAAGGCTACTTGCCGAAGCACACGTAGGTGCGAGTCTACACGCCGCACCTATTGTTTGCCTAGTACAGGTCTGTGGGATGGAAATCCAGTCCCTTAGCACGATGAAGGTTTCTTAACCATACTTCTCAGCCTCATGTATGGTGTGGGCGCCGTCAAAGATAAGGCTGAGCCTGTGCTACTGCCAGGCAGGAAGGTTACAGCCCAAAGCCCCTGCTTGCATACCCGTCCGTGCCGTTCCCATGAACTGGGTAAGGTATTGGGCTGCTGGCAGGCTCGAGGAGTAGCTTCGGGGACTGTTGCTGGTCCCGCACCTGTCAGATGCAAAGAAATGCAAGGTTAGTTGACATCTGCGGCAACTTGGAAAGGAAGTCGCTGCCGTAGATCATACTTTGTCCGGATAGCGACGTTCGGCGAATTGTTGCAGGCTGCTATCTCCACCCTAGGCGTAGGCTCTTGTCCTTGTTTGACGTCCCTTCGGAGTATTTTGACCTGATTCAGCCTCGTGGTAAAGTTAACAGGCCGTTTGTGCTCTTTTGACCTAACCCGAGAGAGATAATAATAGATCTCAATATCTTATCTAGAGGGTTGTTGCACATCGTCTATCGGTAGGTGGACATGTAGACTGCAAACTCATGATGAGTGAAGCGAGCAAAGACAGGACTATTTCACAACATCTACACGAAGAACTCGGGATTGGATCACTCCGACTGTCAAAGCTCACCGACATGGCAGTCGCTGCTTGTCTATGGTGAAAATTTGAGGGAAAGAACTCATCGAACTACTTCAAGATGCGGTTAGGCGAATTCGGGTGCAGATGGCAATCCATGCCCAAGTTTTGATTCATACAAACACGTGCATAGCCAGCCGCGACATCGGTATATTGTTGTCAAGGATAAGAAGCGGTTGCGATATTTAATTAGAGATTCGTACTAGGGACAGGCTCACTGGTTCGACATGGATGATGGGTAAAGCGCAGGAGGTAGCCTATTGGACACTGAGTACAACAAACAAGAAAAAGTCAATCCTTTAATTAACCCGAGAGTTTCTCTCGCACAGTGCTCACCATGGCGAATTCATCGCCTGATCTGAGGAGCTAGAGGCGAAAACTCTGCGGAACCTCGAATTCAATCATGGCAGGACAATCCGACAGCCCAGGTTGGCATTAGATAATTGGGCAATGCATCGAAGTGTACCGGCGCAATCGATGTCTATAGCCGAGGCCAGCCGGCCCGCGGACTCCTCGCTACCTACTGGACAATTGAGACAAAATCGCTCCTTTGAGAATGAGTCGAGTCTCTTTACGGGAATAAGTCGTCTGACACCAAGGCAAGACACCACGCCTCATGCATGGATCTTTTCTTCGACGGGCCCGAGTCCGCGCACAATTATTCGTCGCCTGCAGCGCGTATCCTACGTCATCGAGCGAGGGAAAAAGCCTTGCTGCGGGTTCACAAAGCTGCAAAAGGACCAGTAACGCGCCAAGACACACAGAAACGGGTCAAGCGGCAGGCATTCGAGTAACGGCAAAGTGGATCCTTTTCGGTCCCGCAGAGGTGGGGCCGTACGGTATTGGGAGGGTCCACTGCGATCCACTCTACGGTTCCGTTCCAATCAAGCCGTCGGTAGCCTCCACGCCGTAGGACTCGGCGTCCTGCGCGTCGTGCCATTCTCCACTCCTCCTCAAGGTAAGACGAGGCCTTGGCAAATGGGAGCCCGTCTCTCATAGTTCTTCACCCTTGCGCCCGCCGTCGTTTGGCTTGGGGGTGCCACGGTGCCTCGCGGCTTTACTTGGGTCTGCTTTCTCAGAATCCCTACAAAACTCAATGAGAACGCCGAGAGCGCACGCGCGCGCCCAGCACCACCTGCCCTATCCTATCGGCCAGACATTGCGGCTCAAACACCACAAGTCCTTATCAGCGCGCTTGATGATCGACCCCTTCGACGTCGACCCTGAAAGATGAGCTTCTTTCAACGACGGCTCATCGACCATTGCGAGTGACATGTGCTCTCTCTCACCGGGAACACGCCGCTTCCGGTAGGCCCCTTGACGAAAAGCCCCCCCTCCGCTAACTTGCCGCTCACCGACTCAGCCTGTGGGGTCGCCTCATTTCCCCCTGTTGGAAGAACGAAAAGAAAAGTGTCCACATCCCTTGGTTGGGCATTGACTGGCGGCTGCATATAAAGTGGATAATGGTCGAGTCTTTTGAGACACTCTCGTTGGCTGGTTTTCTTAGCATCTTGCACCATCTTATTGTGCGAAACTGCGAAACTGCGAAACTGCGACGGATAGTGATTGGCTGCTTTTTGCGCGTTTAGATGACATAAAGACAAATTTTCGTTATTTCTTTGCTCCCTCACTGGCTCATCGATGCGCTGCGCGAAAAAACTACTGCGACATGGTGTCACGGGATACTCCCAGGATTCATCCCCAGCCTCGCACCATTCTGCCTTGCTGCCTTGGTTTTGAGGGCCAATTTTCCTGCCATGTCATCCCACTGATGATTGCGGCGAGTGGGATTGCAGGAGAAGGAGTCAGGCTTTCTTCCATTGTGTGTCACTGTCGGCATCTCACCGAAACACACAAGAATAAAGGGAGATTGGCCACCTCACTGATAAACACGGCCCAGGCTCTCAACAACAGCGACAAGATGACCTCTGGATGAGTCTGTCTGATGCTCATTGGCTCCCTCCCGGCAATCTTGGTTCAGTGTCCGACACACCAAGTGGTCCCTCGCCAAACTTGCGCCCACTCACAAAGGCACGGACTGCTCCAGCTGGTTCCCATTATTTTCCCCTCAGCAAGTGAACCCTTGTGGCCCTGTGGCCCCTTCAAACAGTGCTGACAAGTGAGATTGGGATGAGCGAACGAGCCGACGACTCTGAGAATCCTGGATGTATCCGTACTCCATGCCTACTGTGTGGTGTCCAGTATAGTATGGGGGATACGTATCTGATAACCCCGCATAGAGTTGCCTGAGATGGCAATGTGTCCCTGCAGATAAAGCTGGAGATTGCGCCTCCCCCATCCTCAATCCTGCGAGGCGAACGCTGTATTCCGATATCTCTGCCGCTGTGATATCGATAAGACGCAACTAGGGTGGTAGTTATACGTCTTAGTCAAGGCATACTGATTACAATCCCAGACAACATATCGATGCGGAAGACGGCGACACGGCGACGATTCCCATGTTGGCACGGGCGAGTACTCCGTCGCCGAACCCATAATATGTAGCCCCCCCCCCCCCCCAAGTCAAGCCAAGCCTCCCCCGTCCAATGGACAGATGCATTCAGAAGCGGACGCTAACACAAGGAATGACGACATTGCGGAAATATTCTGCCTTAGCACCAGCGCCGCGCCGAAGGATTGGGATGGGGTCGACACAAAATCCATGGATGGCATGGGCATGGGGCGCAAACACTACAACGCCTGCGTGCGAGATCAGGGACGAACCCAGTCAAACTCCACACAGACTTGCAACGTTCCTGGCCCTCTGTATGGATACTTTCCCTCATTGTCCCTGGATTTTCTGATGCAATCTACCTACAGGCTACGCCGAGAGCCCGCGGGTCGGGTTGGCTCAAAGTTCGTACGGGTCTGGTCTGTGGGTTGTTCAGCTGCAGAATGCAGAAAAAGCTTTTGCATTTGGGTGTGTCTACATACCTGGTAGCCCGGCGCGGCGCATTCTTCTTCTCACTCTCTTCGGTACACTGTGTGGCATGTGGCACGTTGCCTTGGGAAGAGAAGAAGTTCGCCCAGGTCGCAAAAGTTTTTCCCTGGTCGATTGACCAAATGAGACGCTGATCGATCTACCTGTCTGCCTGCTGCCACCCTTAAAACTAAACTCTCCCCCATCGAGATTCTCCTCGCGTGCCTCCATTCGAAACGTTTCGTTGCTCTCTCTCTTCCTTCCTCCTCTCCTCTCTTCGCACGCCCTCCTCTTTGTGCTCACGGTTTCCACTTGGCTTGAGCCGTTTCTTCATTCCTCCACATGCACTCAGTGGTTTCCTCCCTCCGTCTCTCGTCAACATACCTCTACGGGGAAAGAGTCTAGATAGTAAAGC